CTCCCGGCGCCTATTTATACTATAGTCGCACCGGTAGTGACGTCATGGCTGTCGCCGGCCAACGAGTTGGTGTTTTTCTATGTATGCTTCAGACACGGGTCACGACGAGGCGTTCCCCATAGCGACCCCTAGAGGACGCAGTTCGAAGTTCCCATGAAAGGGAACCAAAACCAACATCAACTCTTATCAACATTTGTCCCTGACCCAACTATATTGTGATATTTACCATTAGCATGTTGTAAAAAAGTGTTGTTGGAGTCGTGGCTTTGTGGTTACAGCAAATGCTCCAGAGATGTCAAACTGTGCTGCTCATGTGGGAAATTCAGGTTCAAGCTTTAGGTTTAAAGTCTGTTCTAATAACTCAAACACAACCTATTTACGTGTTCTGATCAAATATACACATTGAATACACTATAAACCTTGGATAAAAGCATTTGAGAAATGCATTAAAAAAAAGACGAAGCTAACATAAATGAAAGGGAACCAAAACCAACATCAACTCTTATCAACATTTGTCCCTGACCCAACTATATTGTGATATTTACCATTAGCATGTTGTAAAAAAGTGTTGTTGGAGTCGTGGCTTTGTGGTTACAGCAAATGCTCCAGAGATGTCAAACTGTGCTGCTCATGTGGGAAATTCAGGTTCAAGATTTAGGTTTAAAGTCTGTTCTAATAACTCAAACACAACCTATTTACGTGTTCTGATAAAATATACACATTGAATACACTATAAACCTTGGATAAAAGCATTTGAGAAATGCGTATTTTAATTTATTTAAATTATAATTTATACATTTTTAAATTAATAATTAATTTAAATTATAACATATTAATGTATTTAATTCAATAATTAATATGTTTATAGTATTTCTTTTTATTTATTAGTTTTAGTTTATTTAGCTATTTTAGTAATTCAGCTTGATGAAAAATGTTGCCTTGTCGACCAGCTGAAATAAAATAAGTTTTTTTAATTTTATTTTAGTTCATGTTTATTTTATTTCAAGTAATGAAAATGTTTTTTTTTATGGTTTCAGTTAACTATAATTACTCTGTTACTGATTACATTTATGTTATATTGATAAACTGATAAATGATCATTTTCAACATGTAGATGCAGAAAAAGTGGTCCAGTTGGCTCTGTAGGCTGTGCGAGCCAGTGGGGTGTTGAGGCGGAAAATGAAGGCCTGTAGGCCCAGAGCTACAACAGGTGCAGAGGCTGAGCCGCTGACGGCTGGAGATTAAACCAGCACACTGAAGGTCAGAGACGGAGGGAATATACTGCAGATCACCAGAGCCGCTCTGACGCTTACTGACTTCAGCTTTCTCACAACCTCTTTATTATGTGGGGTTCATTCTTCATTGTTGTTTTTTATCATTATTTATAAAACAAGCTACTTGATTGGATGCTTTTATATATTATTATTAGTAGTAGTAATAGTAGTATTTTCTTCCAATATCAGACTTTTCAAATATAGACATTACAGTTTGGGGTGAGAAAGAAATTAAAACGTTTGTTCAACGAGGATATATTAAACTGATCAAAAGTGACAGTAAAGACATTTATAATGTTACAAAAGATTCTATTTTAAATAAATGCTTTTCATCAAAGAATCATGAAGAAATGTATCACGGTTTCCACAAAAAATATGACGGTGCACAATTGTTTGCAACATTGATAATAATCAGAAATGTTTCTTGAGCTTCAAGTCAGCATATTAGAATGATTTCTGAAGGAAAACTCTGATTTGGAGTGGGATTGAGAGCGTGACCCACCATGTTGTCGAGGAGAGCAGTGGAATGTTCGTCGAGGCTGATGACTCCCTCCCCCAGGTGATGCCGCTTCAGCCGGTTTGAGAAGGTCCTCAGCTCGCGCTCTAGCTTGGCCCCTGAGTCCACGTTTGCTAGAAGCTTCCAGAAAGGCAGCCTTCAGGGAAATACTATATTTGTTAGAGTGCAGTTCTCAGATTGAAGTAACACTCAGGTTCATTTTAAAAATTCATATATATATATACATATATACACACACACACACACACACACACATACATATAACAGTTCTTTCTGGTCCTCGAATCTGATTGGCTGAGAGGAGTGTGATATTCCAGCGATAACAGAACTGGTTCACCATTTGTATCACTCCGCTTGCGGTATTTCTCACTATAATTTTATAAATAATACTGTTTTTCTGTCACGGAAATGAGTTTTAAGAGTTTTTTTAAAGCTAGAATGTACTTGTTTAGACTTGTTCAGCTGTTAAACTGTGAAACATGGATTTGAATCCATGGCGGAAGTATGCATATAGATAAGCAATATCACACAAGTAGACAAGAGATATGGCTGTATATCAGCACGGCTGTGATTCGGCCGTAGGTAATCACAGCCGTGCTGATTTACAGCCATATCGCACTGCTACTCGTGTGATATTGCTCATATATAGCAGTATTATAATTCTAGAATGTTATTTATTTATTTATTAATTAATTCATTCATTCATTTTTATTTATTAGTTCATTTATTTCCATAAAAAATAAATTAATTAATAAAAAAAAAAATCATATTATTAATTCAGGAAGCATTTACACAATACTGTTTTCAACTAAAAATGGAAAACATTTAATTCCGTTTTGGCCATTCAGTTACATGATAATGGCGTTTAGGTGCAAATTTTCAGTGCACATTTTTGAAAACAATACTGTATGTGCAAAACATGAATTTGTTAAAACGATAATGTCATGCGCATGCGTATAATACAGCGTTTTTAGTCATTTTCGTGAGTCTGTGTCAGCGGGGGACGTTTTGACAACTCAAACTCAAACTCAAACTAGCTGCTGACGGCTGGAGATTAAACCAGCACACTGAAGGTCAGAGACGGAGGGAATATACTGCAGATCACCAGAGCCGCTCTGACGCTTACTGACTTCAGCTTTCTCACAACCTCTTTATTATGTGGGGTTCATTCTTCATTGTTGTTTTTTATCATTATTTATAAAACAAGCTACTTGATTGGATGCTTTTATATATTATTATTAGTAGTAGTAATAGTAGTATTTTCTTCCAATATCAGACTTTTCAAATATAGACATTACAGTTTGGGGTGAGAAAGAAATTAAAACGTTTGTTCAACGAGGATATATTAAACTGATCAAAAGTGACAGTAAATACATTTATAATGTTACAAAAGATTCTATTTTAAAGAAATGCTTTTCATCAAAGAATCATGAAGAAATGTATCACGGTTTCCACAAAAAATATGACGGTGCACAATTGTTTGCAACATTGATAATAATCAGAAATGTTTCTTGAGCTTCAAGTCAGCATATTAGAATGATTTCTGAAGGAAAACTCTGATTTGGAGTGGGATTGAGAGCGTGACCCACCATGTTGTCGAGGAGAGCAGTGGAATGTTCGTCGAGGCTGATGACTCCCTCCCCCAGGTGATGCCGCTTCAGCCGGTTTGAGAAGGTCCTCAGCTCGCGCTCTAGCTTGGCCCCTGAGTCCACGTTTGCTAGAAGCTTCCAGAAAGGCAGCCTTCAGGGAAATACTATATTTGTTAGAGTGCAGTTCTCAGATTGAAGTAACACTCAGGTTCATTTTAAAAATTCATTTCTTGAAATAAAATAAACATTAACTAAATTAAAATAAAGCATTAAAAAAAACTTGAACTTATTGTATTTCAGCTAGTCGCCAAGAAAATATTTCTAATTTCCATTTAAAGTTTCATTAAGTAATAAAATAACTAAAACTAAATCATCTAAAACTAAAAACTAATAAGAACTATATAGACATTTAAAAAACGAACAATGATAAAAACAACAAAATTATTTATTTATAAAGCACTTTCAACACCACGACTGGAACCAAAGTGCTGTACAGAAAAAGATAAGGGGAAAAAAAAAAAAGAATAATAAGAATAATGTAAAAACAAATGAAAAATAATAATAACAACATTGTCGTTTGTATGTAAAACGTTTTAAAAAATGCGAAGGAAAGCCTTTTCCGTTATTAGTGCACTGTTGTCGTGTGAACGTACCCTCATTCACATGAATCTAGAATTGGAAGTGAATCAGAAACCAATTTAATCTACATTAAAATTGATGAATCACTTTTTAGCTCTTTGACAGAAGAAGTGTGTCTCTGCTTCTAATATTGGACAGATACTGAAAAACGCTAATATTGGTACGAAACGTTGTGCATCCCGAGAAACGCGAAGTTCAAGATAACAATGAAAAAAGGTAAAGGAGTTTGTAAAGTTGTAGTACCGTAAGACATCCATGTTTGGCAGTTCTCGTCTGGCTGTGGAGAGCTGCTGCATTGACTCCTGATGGACAGCTCGAATGTTGTGTCCAACACACACGGTGTACTGCAACGGCATGCGCTCCATACTGGGCGGCGTCTGCAAACAGTACTGCTGTCTGCTCTCTATTCCTACATGAAGTGGGATGTTCGGGGCCACTAGAACTGACACACCTTTAAAAAAAAACAAAAACAAAAAAAGCTTTGTATCACCAGTGGTCAGCTTGGCAAATTTTAAATCCCCAGAATAAATCAAATTTGGAGTTTTGTGACTTTTACACCGTGTCTACACCGGATGCGACAGTTGTCGCGCCACAACAAATAATGTCTGTCTACACTGGACGTGACAAAGCGACCATTGCAAATCATTTAAATTTTGTGACAGCAGTTTACTGTCTGGGATTTGTCGTGTCGCGCCGCATCCAGTGTAGACAGCATCACTGATTATAGTCCATGTCTGCTAACTGTGAAGTCGTCTATATATTAGTGTACTTCTAAAATGTGCAAATTAACCAAATAGTTGACGGTAGATATTGACTTCCATAGTATGGAAAATACTATGGAAGTCAATGGCCGTCAACTGTTTAGTTACCAACAATCTTCAAAGTATCTTATTTTGTGTTCAACAGAAGAAAGAAACTCATAGAGGTTTGGAACAACTTGAGGGTGAGTAAATGATGACAGAATTTGAATTTTTGGGTGATCTATCCCTTTAAGACATGCTTATTTGGGGTGTCACAAGGACCAGTAAATCACCTCTTAGAAAGTTTGCATCTGAAAGGGACACTCCTACAAATGCATATACAATAAGGTCAGATGCAAAAATAACTCTGTCTGTCCCATAGGAAAGAAAAATCAAAAGTGAGATCTCTTTAACATCTCAAATATTTATCCTAGACAGAAATTAGGTTACTGTAAGATCGAATGGAGATTTTTGCTTGAGTCTCCTGCTTCTCAAACTTGTCTCCTGAGACAAAAACTCTAACAATCTCACAATGGTCTCCTTTAAAGCTTTAGAAGAGATCTCAACAACATCACACAATGTGTTCAGATATTTCTCCTTAGCTAAAGACTCTGGTGTTCTCACATTTGTCTCCTCCAAAGTTTCAAACAAGATCTCAACAGCA